CACCTCCGACCACAGCGCCAAATTTGTACCCCACGACCTGGGCGGTGTTGCCGTGCAAGAGTTCGGAGTGCGTGAGAATGGCTATCGCCACCGAGTCCACAGCAATGTCCAGTGTGGCCGCCCAGAAATTGAAGACAAAGAGACACACTGGGAGGAGGAGTCGACTGGTCACGAGGTGCGTCTCGGTGATTGTGGAGAGGGCGGCGCTGCAGGCGAACAGACCCGCGATGCTCACCTGAAGCCAGAGCCGCTTCGAGCCCCAGGTATCGACCAGGGGTGCGTAAGTGCTCTTAAACACCCATGGCAGGTAGAGCAGCTTGTAAAAGCCGAGAGCCGTCAGAGAGGCACCGTGGGAACGAAGGATTAGAGGAAGGAATCGCGACTGTAGGCCGTAGGGGACACCTTGCAGAGCGTAGAGGAAGAAAAGCACGCAGAGGTGAGAGGATGGCTGTAGTAGGAGGAGGAGAAGTCTCATATATTGAAAGAATACCGATTACGTGATCCAAATGGAGCTCAACGATTGTACAAAGGGCTTCAGATAAGACTAAATTTGTCGAGTACACGATATGGAGGTCAACTATGGCCTCCTTATCTTTCTTCGCTTCAGGGCAGTCAATTAAGCTTTCTTAAGTATAAAAAATGACCCTCTAGAACATTTGAGTGCTTAAAATTTATGAAAAAATCATTTAGCTTGTCGATTTATAGATGTACAAATGAATAACGTCAAATAATTTATCTACTTAGATGAAGTGGATCACCAGAAATTCCTGGCTTATTTTTGTATGACTAGCGAAATGGCAAAATTAAATAAAAACATGACATCTACCCATATGTTAATAAGCTGGTTTGCAGCACATTTAAATGGCAAAAATTGGTACTAAACAGAGCATTAGCTTTTGGTTTTTACGAACTATTCATGACGCCTCTCTTAAATAAACAGCAAAATAAAGTACACCGCAAAAAAACCTTCGGGATTTTTCAATATCAGCTTCAACAACGTATCCAATGTGAAAAAAGCTTTATTGTGATCACAAGCGTAAGTTTAGGCGACTCTTCCGAATTTTAATGCTTGCTGAAGATAAACACAACATGGCACACAGCATGATAACATAAAAATATTTGTTTTCTTTTTTGCTCACGTAATATATAACATTCCTATTATTCACATGTCCACATGTTCTAGTAGTTTAAGAAGTAAATGAAGCAAATTATGTCACAAAAAAATTGAAAAAAATTAACTCCCACTATTCTTTGCATAAATTAAAAAACTAACCAATATAAACATCCTTAATACATGGAAATAAAGCAGGCAATATTTGCTACACTCGAGGCCTTACGACAGACTCTCAACTTCGTTTAAATCCTCGGCTGGGAATAAGACATGTAAAACAAGCTAAAGGCATATGCATTCGATTTTAACTTCTTTATAGCTTAAAAGCAATGATTAATAAAATTTCTAAATAATATAATTTGAAGAGGTCATTTGTAATTCTAATTTAAGAACAATAATTCATAAATTTGATTCAATTGAATTTTATGTTAGCTGCAATGTCGTCATTGGATAAAATATTACTAAACCAAACTTTTTGTGTTTTAAACGTTATTGTACTGAATAATTGCGCAAAACTCGCAAGTTAACCTGGCTTCCGTAAAGCTTGATCCTTAAATTTTAATTATATGCGTGCACTCAAGAAGGTTTTCTATTTCAATCGTCCTTCTTTTGTTTGTTGTTATTTACAATTATCAGACGTTTGTTTTGATTAGCACCATTCGCTTAATAATACGCCTCATTACTGTTACTCTTTTTGTAGATATCTATCAACCTATCTGATTATTGTGGCAAAAGAACTTGTTAAAATGATTTCCTCTCTTATTTTTTTGATAAGTCTACTGAACCATCTTTTTTATTGGAGGGAGAAATATGTTGAAATTTTAAAAAAGAATGGTCATAGAAAGGTGCCTATTTGCCAAATTTTTGAACCTTGATTGAGACATTGAATTTATCACTAATTAAATTCGCCATTGATTGCAACTCTTCTTTGCGTTTTGCCTAGTTCTGCATGTAACGGGGCGCTTTAGTGTGAAATGAATCCTATTGTATTCTGTCTATTAACCGGATCTTGCGAGTTTACTAGTACTCTACGGTAGTCAATCGCCACGTTGAATGCACTCTATCTAGTGCATTCCTAACTTTTCATGCATCTGTGTAAGTGATTGGTTCATTGCAACTCCGTCGTGACTCAATTCGACATGCCTGAACCTTCCGCTAATAAAGAACACGTAGCACGTCTTGAAATTCACTTTAGTTGTGCATTCGATTGAGTGAATAAAATTTATGTTAGTTGATATCAAACTTACAATTCAGACAGTCAATCATGAGGTGTCAAATCTGATGTAACTTAATGCCCAGTGTGCAAAACGGCGGATCTGAAATTGGCTGATTGTCATTGCGCACACACTTAACAGAGCGTGTGACGGACGCAATGGAAGATATTCTAAATGATCTTAGAATTTCATAAAAAACGCCTGTTTATTTATATATTGATTCGATAAGGATAAATAGCATAGCTACTTTCAACACATAAGTACCACTATATTTTGACTAGATATCAGGGTTAAAAAAACGTTTCGACCAATGTCCCGTTTAAGGTGTCATTCTTTAAAACAAGTTTCCTTATTTGAAGGTGAACGGGTTTAATGGAATCGTTGGGTGCATTTACTCAAAATTAGATTTTTTTCTCTCAAAAGACCTATATCACTACCTAGGTCAGCCTTCATAGCAAGAAAACCGAATTTTTTAATATTGTCGTGTAATTTTTCATAATTAGTTCCAGAGAATCAGCATAAATATGACTGAATTTATGCGTTCGAAGTCTGAAGATCAATTGTGTTCTGACGGGACTGTGTCAGGATTTGCTTTGATGTCACTTAATTCACCGAACTCGTGGTTGTTTTTTAATTTTAAAAATGATGCCAAAGCGTGCACAATGCAACTAAAAACCTATCAGCTTTCTGGAAATCAAATACTTTATTCTAGTGCGTCAATTTTTGGAACGTTACCTGGCCTTGGATTGACCTTTAAAAGCTGATACTGTTTCGACCAATCACGTGCCCTGTCATTAAAAGGCTATTTAAAAGGCTGTGCATTTATTGTCTTGGTAACGACAAAACTTTTTACAGTGATCAGAATTCTGCAACTATGTCGCATTTTATTGTTGTACAAGCGTTCCCATTGAGGGCCACTCCGAAAACTTTTGTTTGACTGACAGTATTCTACATGGCGCCATTTTCAATAACATTTTCATAATTAGCCAACTTGGTTGTTTTCTCACTAATGATCTTTCCGTGTTTACCATTACTACGACGCAGCAAACCCCGTAAACACGTATTACTTTCAAATATTTTTTTCCTCGACAATTTTTACGCACCCAATATTGAAGTATGTGATGTGGACGGCAGAGAGCTCATTAATCCAGACAACATTTTTCGGTAATTACTGATATAATGGCAATGATTTCGCGTGATTGGCGTGCGAAATAGCATTTGCTGGATGCGTTTTATTCCCAAGCATTACTGAAGCCGCCAGTTTATCAAAAATTTCCGATCTTATCCACTTTTGCATTGACAAAGCAACGCCCATTTTCATATTCGTACTTTCAGCATTTTTCTGAGACACAAAATGATTTCTAGGGTTATATGGTTATTTATTCGATTTTTGTTAAAATAAAGTTTTCAACCAAAGTCACTATTGTGTTGTTTAGTGTTTTGAGAATGTAGGTTGATATGTGATATCGTGCAGAAGGTGATTTTCAACGATTTTTACGAACATTACACAAAGCCGAAATCGTGGAGGTGGCTAAATTAAAAGATTTTCTCAGGCAAGTGTCAAGGCATTGGTTTTTTTTTAAAAATCCCACCCAACAGGCCTCGTTTAAGCGACGCAGCATTTTGAAGTGCTGCAAGCCAATTAACATGTGTCTTTTGAAAATTAACTTTACGAATTAAGTTACGTTAACTCTCGCCCATCTACGTGGCACATAATATCCCAGGAAACATGTTTGGTGTCATCATTTTAATTCACACCTTCCAAATTTTTCACTATTAAGCATTGTGCAAACGCCGGACCACACTACACTCAGATTCAGCAAAAATCGATTTCTATCGATTTTTTCCCCTGCGCTGCACACGCTGCGTGAGCTGTTTCGCGTCAAGCCAGGGTGGCGGTTAGTGCTACCGGTGGTACGGCCTTTACAAGGTCTCCACGGGATATAAAGGGGCTAATCACAAAGACGAGAATTGTGTAAAATTAAATCAAGACTTAGTTCATTCCGCCGTCGAAGCTGAGCGTCGGATCAATTTTATCGTTTTTTTTTGCCGTTATATGTTTGCAATATTTACTTTCATTGGCCTGTGGGTGTACATGTGCATTCAGACCAGTCCAAATTCGTGCCAGGCCACATACTAGAGTGTGTTGACCAGCTTAAGTTGCGGCGGTTTGCATAATTCAATCCCAATTGTTTAGGAAAAAACGCCTGTAGTTTCGTGTGGTTATTTACCTTCGCTAGTTATCGTGAACGTACCTTGCAAAAAGTGTGAATAGATCTGGTTTTCATGCAACATCGGAATATTCTTGCTTGCCATGGAGTCTGCGCATTAAAATGTGTGCCTATGTCGTCATGGGATGGAGTAATTGAAGGACCCGAATTTAGTAATGTTTAAAAACGACGAAGTCATTTGACTGGTTTCCATACCAATTTTTTTTAAATTTTGCGGCACGCTTTGAAGACCACCGTGGAAATATAAGACAGGTTACACTGAAAAGAAAAGAATTATAACATTTAGCGCTACATTTCTGAGTCAAATCTGTCCATGTCTTCGACTGCAATTCGAGGAAGAAGTTGCACTCACGCCCAACCAGAAGTAGTGACGTCTCGGACAATTTGATTGGTCCACGAGTCCAATTTAAACAAACCCTCTCACTTGTTGAGCATTCGTCCAAAATGTTGAAGGACGCTTGCAACAGGCTACTGCCAGACGAAGAGTGTTTCGAACCAAACTACACAGCCCCATGGAACGAGAATATATCTCTGGTTGAAATCACGCAAAAAATTTACATAATTTCCGTTTTGTACATCGGCGCCCCAGCTATCTGCATTGGTCTGGTCACCAGTTTTTTGTGTGTCATCGTCTTCTGCTGCTTTGAAGTGACCCAGAAAACAACTCGTCGTCTTCTCATCATGAACTCCGTTTCAGACACCTTCAATTTAGGCGCCCTCTTCATCTCGCACATTCTGTTTGAACTAGTGCCCCTGGGCCAATACAAAGCCCTCTACATCGACAGTCTAGATGCTGTATCAAACATCGCCGCGCTCTCACGAAACTGGAGCATTGTTATCATCGCGTTTGAGCGCTACATGCTAATCTGTTACCCGATTTATTTGAAAACGAAAATTACGGATCAATGGGTGAGTCACGCCTGCATCGGCTTGTCCGTTGGAACGCTGATCGTACGAATTCCGACGGTGCTGACGTTGATTCTTAAAAACACCGGTGTCTGCGACGCTGCCGTCGTCTCATTCTCTGTGGACGCATTCACTGACATCTTCTTCTTCACAATATTTCCCCTCATCTTGCTGAGTTTTTTCACAATCAGGATCCTCTACGAGTCGCAGCGGCTACGCAAGTGGCGGAAGAATGAGGGATCAATCGATAGCGAACGCAGCATGGCCTACGAACGAATGAAGAGACGGGTACACGGAACCATCATGGCCGTCTTGGTGACGTTTACCTTACTCACAATTCCATTCCTTCCAAACGGTGTCATAAGGGTCCTAACTGCCTTTGGCGACCACAGTTGTTTAGTGTATCTAGGCAGGCACATAACTGCCTCCATGTCGTACATCGGCACCGTACTCAACTCCACTGTCAACTGTTTCATCTACATTTTGACCTGGCCGAAATTTCGGGTGTGTTTGTGGCAGATTTGCATATTCCCTTTCGTATTTTGCCTCCATCCCAATCGGAAAATGTCCAAAACTGTGGTGGATGAGAGGACAGTGCAGTCACAAACAGAAAGGCCATCGATAGACGCCAGACTCGACATCGACTACTAGGATCTGAACCCTCGACAGCCACATTTGTTTTCACTCTACCGCTGACCGCATTGTCTCCTACTAATGCCCGTCTGCTTTCGGAAAGGACAACTTTGTCTCCGTATTTAATAAAAGCTCATCCTTATTGGTTAATTAAATCTCACTGAAAATTTTTTGTTTCTCCTTTCAGTCTCAAATACTGGTGGAAAAAAATCAAGGGAATCACCAGGGCTACAACCACGTTCGTCATTAAAGCGAATGATAATTTTTCTGGACGGGTTTTCTTATATTAGGTTCAAATTGAGGTGTATTGTGTCGTGGTCAAATACGAAAAAAATTGTAGGTACACCTTTGGCCACTGCTTTTTCAAAAATCGATAAATAATAATGATAAGTCAGCATGTACCAGCAGCAAAGGCGTAGGAAGACGTGATCTGGGTGGTCAAAATTTAAAGTAAACTCGGTAGATCATTTAAACAAAGAAGGTGGTGGATAAAACACACAACATGTTGCTAAAAGAACTTTGAAACATGGTTTTGCGCCATAAAATGTTAAACAAATTCTCGCGGCTTAGCTTCTGAATTTTGTTTCAATGAATCCAGGAGAATTAAACTCAATTTCCCGCCAGTGCGTCTGGTTTCTACATCATAAATTAACTTGCCTTGTCAGGTGAGGTGAACATTTTTTCAAATTAATCGCATTCGAAATTTCGACCAATAGGAGATGCGCTAAAAATTACCCTATAGCTTGCCGTCGTGAGGCTAAAAGTGCTCAGTCTTGTTTAATTTTTAATTGTTAGAGTAGCATGGCTAACCAAACTAGGCCGTATTTATCGTCCCCCTCACTACCCAGCCCACCATACCACAGACTTCCCTTGTTCGGAGTCCTGTACAAATGCATGCGATTTCATTGGTCAGTTCATCTAGGAGGTGAAAATTTGTTTTCCACGGTATGGGGTTGAGGTATTGCTCGGAGTTTTGTTCAAGCGTCTGTGATCTTATTGGTTAGGTAATGTTGGTGGTGATACTGTAGTGGACTGACAGCCGCCCCGCGCGAGTGTGCGTGCATGAAGGCCCGTGTGTGGCGATGACTCATCCCCTTTTGTTATTGATTTTTGTCTGCATTCGCCTGTTACGCACGCGTGCTCATACGCACACAAAGCCACCTGGCTGGTTCGACTTTAATAAACGGTCGTGTTCTCTGTCGCCTCCTTTTCCCTATCCTACGGGCTGTTAACTAGAGGGTTGTAAGGCAGTGCTAAATCCTCTAGTCATTACAATACTGTTACCTTAGGTATGATGCAGAAGACTTAGTCAGAGTTCCGTTCAAATGCCTGCAACCTGCTCAAATGACTGTAATCTCATTGGACAGTTCATGTTGGTGGTGGTACTGTGTTAACCGATGTACGGTGCAGAAGTAATGCTCAGAGTCCTGTTAAGAGGCGTGTAATCTCATTGGTCAGTTCAACTAGGTGGTGGAAGAATAATTTGCGTGCAAATCTAGCTAAGTATGATTTGTGTAGCTAAGCCGAGACCCGCCTTGGACGGCATTTTGCGTCACTCAACCCCTCTCCTAATGCAAAAATGCACTAAGCGAGTCCCGTGACGACAAAATGACATAATGTAAGCTTTTTATTTCTGATAAAACGGCACCCTTCTCTTAGACAGATGGAACCGGTACTTTCTGATGTTTTTTTTGAAGGAGACAAGCTGCTCGAACTGCGTGAAATGCTCCCAAATTATTACCGATTACCAACAATGTGTAGGCGCATTATTGGAATTGTTTTTTACTTAATTTTGACGGTGGACAGTTCGAAAGTCAGTAAATAATCTGTTTCTCAAACTTCAAGCATTAGTACATTAACTGGCCAATAAAATAGCGGCTGCACTCAAGGTGAAAGTTAGCCAATGGGATGCCTTCAGGTGATGTATTGTTACTCCAATGGAAAAACTATCCTCGAGAAACCTAGTTTGCAATTGGTTTCAAATCATTTTTACAGCTTCCAACCTTCTCCAGATCATGATTTAAACCTCTAAGTTTAATCGGTTGGTTTTAAGCACAACTTGTTTTCAAAAACGCTGCGAGGGACTTAAGCTAACCACACCAGCGGCTTCAGTCCGGTCAGTAAAGTGTGTTTTTGTTTATTTCTTTGAGGGATTTTGAACTTTTAAAACATTTACTAGTCTTTATGCCTCTTAATTTGTTCATGTGCCAGCAGGATTTCCTGGAACTGTAACAAAAAATAGTTCTACTTCTGGTTAAGTGCTGAAGACAGGAAGTTTTTCAGACGAGGGAAGGATTGAAAATGATATGCGCACGAGATTCTATTGGTGCGTCAAGTGATTTGGAACTGAGATAGGTTGGCAAGGCAACAATTTCAGTGATAAGGAAAGTTTTGAAGAAGAAAAAACAAACTAAGTACAAATTCTCATTTTTGCGTTGCGCATCTCACTAATCATATGAGGGTAACTGGTAAAATTAAGGAATGCGGAGGGTAGCTGTGCGTAGGACTGATTTTCATGCGATTTCAAGAAAACGGAGTCAATTTGTGACATTTTTTCGGTTGACTAAGTAAGCATTAATATTTTCAGTGTTTCGATTTGAACGATTTAGCGACAACCCCATCACCAGTTTCTTGTTATTGGTGGCGGTGTCTAATCTGCTCAATACTGGCTAAATTATCTTTCAAAATGAGGACACGCAATGTCCAATCATTAGACATAATTGATAACCAATAAGGTTAATGATACATTCAGGGCAAAAGTAGACCAATGGGATGAGAGCAGGCCGGATGCGCGGTCGATGTGTAGTCGTGTTCATTGCAGACTATGCTACAAAATAAATGATTTTTCTAAATGTAGAAATTGTGTGTTTTTAGTTAGGAGGATTGCCAGGTTTGTGAAAACAGAAGGCACAAGAAGAGGCCACCTGATACCTCAGCGAGAATACCTAGTGGTGCCTGCTGTGCCCCCATTAGTCTCAATGTGATTGGTAAATTTAATGACCAATGAAAATAGCTTGCACGCAAGGTGGGAGTTAGCCAATGGGATGCTGACTGGAAAGATGCACGGTCGATGCATCATGATGGTTGTGGCCGATTGACCTCACTGAGTTAGTGTGCAATTTGTGCACTCGGTTAGTCATAACTCTCAACTCACAGCCACGGTGGCATGTACGTCAAAATCTGGCATCTTTAGAAACTAACCCAGATATGCGACGATGTCAATGCGGTTAGGTTTTTGCTTCGTTTCCACTGATTCCCATAACTCTACGTTCTCGTCTGTTGGTGATAAAGAATGCAATGAGATTTTGAAGGTATTACGAAGGCATGAATCTCACTGTTAGGTGTGCCAGCAGCTGACCCACCCACCACCCTGTGTCCGTTTCACGAAACACAAAATCTTGTGTCC